TAGGATGACAGTTTTACCTCTTTCCTTCCAATATGGATACCATTTATTTACTTTTCTTATCTATTTGCTGTGGCTAGAACTTCCAATACTATGTTGAATAGAAGTGATGAGAGCAGGCATCCTTGTCTTGTTCCTGAATTTAGCAGGAAGCTTTTCAGCTTTTCACCACTGAGTATTATATTGGCTATGGGTTTGTCGTAAATGACTTTTATTATGTTGAGATATGTTTCTTCTATACTCACTTTATTGAGATTAAAAAATAATAATTTTATTTATTTATTTTTGGCTGTGCGAGATCTTTGTTGCTATGCAGGTTTTTCTCTAGATGTGGCAAGCAGGGGCTACTGTTCATTACAATGCATGGGCTTCTCTTGTTGTGGAGCACAGGCTCTAGCAAGCACAGGATTCAGTAGCTGTGGTATGTGGGTTTAGCAGTTGTGGTTCCCAGGTTCTAGAGGACAGGCTCAACAGTTGTGTTGCTTGGGCTTAGCTGTTCCACATCAAGTGGGATCTTCCCAGATCAGGGATAGAACCCATATTTCCTACATAGGCAGGCAGATTTTTTACCACTGAGCCACCAGGGAAACTCCTAGTGATAGTTTTTATCATGAATGAATGGATGTTGAATTTTACCAAATGCTTTTTCTGCACCTATTTAGATGATCAAGTGGCTTTCATCTCATTGATTTGTGTATCTTGAACCATCCTTGCAATTCTGGATGAATACAACTTGATCATGGTACATGATCCTTTTTATGTATAGTTGGATACAGTTTGCTAATATTTCATTGAGAATTTATGCAACTATATTCATCAAAGATACTGGCCTGTAATTTTCTTTTTTTGTGGTATCTTTGTGTGGTTTTGCTATCAGGGGTGGTTTCACAGTATGACTTTGGTAGTGTTTCTTCCTCTTCAATATTTTGGAATGCTTTGAAAGGGATAAGTTTTTCTTTGTATGTTTGGTAGAATTCTCCAGTAAAGCCATCTGGTCCTGGACTTTTTTGTTTGCCAGGAGTTTTTGGTTTGGGGGGTTGTTTGTTTGTTTGAATATAGATTCTATTTCATTTCTAGAGATCATTCTGTTCAAATTACCTGTTTCATTTTGACTCAGTTTTGCCAAACTTGTTTACAGAAACTTATCCATTTTTTCTAGGTTGTCCCAATTTGTTGGCATATATTCACAGAATTTATGAGTTTTTAAATTTTCTATAATATTGGATGTTATTTTTCCTCCTTCATTTCTTATTTTATTTGGGTCCTCTCTCTTTTCTTCTTGGTGAGCCTGGCGAGAGGTGTCAATTTTGCTGTTTATACTTTCAAACAATCAAAGCTCTTGGTTTCACTGATTTTCTATTTTTTAAAATTTCTGTTTTATTTCCTCTTTGATCACTATTCCTTCTGCTGACTTCAGATTTTGTTTGTTCTTCTACTTCTCTTAGGTGGAAGCTTCAGTAGTTTGAGATTTTTCTTGTTTTTGAGGAAGCCTGTATTACTATAAAATTCCTTCTTAGAACTGCTTTTGCTGCATCCCATAGATTTTGTAAAGTTGTTTTCATTGTCATTTGTCTCAAGATGTTTTGTAATTTCCTTTTTTATTTCATCGTTACTCACTGGTTTTTTAGTAGCATATTGTTTAGTCTTCATGTAATTTTTTTTTCCTCATTTTTCTTTCTTTGGCTGATTTTTAGTTTCATACCATTGTGGTCAGAAAAATGCTTGAAATAATTTCTATCTATCTTAATCACCAAATCTGGTTGATTACATCTCCTAAATGTCTATGGAATCTGTCTACTCTCTATTTCTTTACAATCTTAGTTCAAGTCACTACAATCTCTTATTTGCCCTCCTACAATAGCCTCCTAACTAAATACATGTCCATTCTTGCCTCGAAGTCCAAAGCATCTCGACACATTATTGACCAGTGGATTTTTGCAGAAACTAATGCCTATGGCATTAATAGGTTTTCAGTCAATAATGTGTTAATGTTACATAAGGGGCAGGTGTATCACCACTAGTGATATACTGTTTAGCCATGAAATAAGGTTCATTGAGAAAACTTAGAAGTTGAGAAATAGCAGGATGCATACCTTCCCTCAGCTATCATTATCTCACAGAAATGCATACTCAATCCAGAAACAGATCTAATGTAGAATGAGTTCTAGGAAAGGGACACGCTTTCCAACCACATAGGAAAACTGCAAATACCTAGATGACTATTAAAGGACTTACAGGTCAAGGGTATGACCTTGATTTAAAAAAAAAAAAAGTAACATCTAAAGTTCAATTTTGGGAAGTTGTAAAACAATCATCAACGACAGCCAGAGACCTTGTTTTCTCATCTGAAATATCTCACCCCTGCTAATAAGCAAAAGGAAAAAAGAGAGAGAGAAAGAACAAAAGGAACCATTAGGCCATTAGGAAACCAAGGTCTATTTCTTCTTTTTTTTTTTGGATGGCATCACTGACTTGATGGACATGAGTTTGAGCAAGCTCCGGGAGTTGGTGATGGGACAGGGAAGCCTGGCATGCTGCAGTCCATGGTGTCGGCAAAGAGTCGGACATGATTGAGCAACTGAACTGAACTGAACCATGGCTTATAGGATCTTAGTTCCCCAACCAGGGATTGAACCCAGGCCCTGGCAGTGAAAGTGCCAAGTCCCAACCACTGGACCACCAGGGAATTTCCTATTTTTCATTTTAACTGAGACCTCTACAAGATCTGGTATCTATTTCTTGAGCCTTACATCATGCCTCCTATTTTCTATGCTTTAGTCACATAGGCCTTCTTTGAACTCCTTACAAAGTTAGGTTATTTCCCTCCTCAGGGCATTGCACAAATGCTCCATCTGCGTAGCTAACTGCAACCCGCCTTTGCTCCTGACATTCTCAAATAGGTTATAAGTCTCATAAAAGTACTCACAGCATGTTGTATGTAGCCTTTACAGAGTAAATCTCAGTAGAAATGATAACTACTTGTGCAGTTATTTAACATGGGTTTCCCTTGCCAAATCAGGAGCTTTCTTGCTCAAGCTGCAGTCCTGGTACTTAGCTGAGCACCCAGTCATAATCATGCCCAATAGATATTTTATTAAATGAATGAACAACGTGTGGACTTGAGGAGATAAGGTAAAATAAAGCAAGATGACCTAGCAGTATTTATTATGTAGCAATAATTTTGATTTTGTAGTTCTTTGGCCTTAGATTTCTGAGGAATATGGATAAATCTGGGTCCATACCTATCACACATCTAGCTTAAATATGGCAATTATACAAATAAACCCTTGCTATAACAAACAGCAGAGTAGGAGAGCTAGGACTATGGAGTATTCCTATATAAGCAAACAAATCATTATTTTATACTGCTTTTTACAGTTCACTGATTAATGTGTTGAAGGAAACATGAAGTCAGATTCTTAACTTAAATAAGCCTGCACGCCTCAACTACTGAGGCTTCATGCCACAACTACTGAGTCCATGCACTACACCTACTGAAGCCTGAGTACCTAGGGCCTGTGGTCTGCAACAGGAGAAACCACTGCAATGAGAAGTCCATGACCACAAGAAAGAGTAGCCACCACTTGCTACAACTAAAGAAAGCCCATGGGCAGCAATGAAGACCCAGCACAACCAAAAATAAATTTAAAAAACTTTTAAAAAATCACATGGAAAGGGTTTTTAAAAATACTCAGGTCCCACCTCTACAGATTCTGATTTAACTGAGATCGTGGTGGGATCTGGGCATTGGGATTTTTCTAAAAGTTACCTTACAACTGTATGCTAGGCAGTTCTAGCATACAATCTGGGTTGAGAACTCAGATTGGTTTAAGGAGAAAAGAAGTAGCTTACTGAAGAGTTAAGTATTTGAAATGCTTCTTAAACAATAGGTGAAAACTGGATAGGCAAAAATGGGTGAGAATGAGGGCTTCCTTGGTGGTTCAGTTGTAAAGAATCAACCTGTAACTGCAGGGTCACGGATTTGATCCATGGTTCGGGAAGATCTTACATGCTGTGGAGCAACTTAAGCCCATGCACCACAACTACTGAGATGGCGCTCTGGAGCCTGTGCTCAGCAACAAGAGAAGGCACTGCCATGAGAAGCCTGAACACTACAACCAGAGAGTAACCCCTGCTCGCTGTATCTGAAGAAGGCTCATGCGCAGCAACAAAGACTGAGGACAGCTAAAACATAAATAAATAAAGTATAGAATTTTTAAAAAATCAATAAATCTTCTAAAGAAAAGGGGGGTGAAAATGTAAACAAAGGGATTAACAAGTAAGAAATGGCAATAAAGGTGCATGAATGGGAAAACATAAAGTGTATATGGGGATGAAGGGTTATTAATGAGTAGACAGACCATTATGGCTGAAGCAAAGTGTTGGCACAAGGGGACAGTAGAAAATATCTTGCATTTTTATCCTCTAGGAACTGGGTTCTACTGAACATTTTTGCTATATTACTGACATGATCAGAGCAATATTCTGCCACAGAAGTCTAGAGATAAGTTGATGAACTCCTGAATTAAGTGGCAGCTCTAAAAATGGAAGGGCTGAAGAGATGACAAGAGGGATGAATCAGTAAGTTTTTTTTTGGCAAAGCCATAAATGGCACAATGAAAAGAATTTAAAGTCACACTGATAACTATAATAATAGAAAACACTATCATGCAAACAAATTTTGATTCTTTCCTCTAAACTACTTTACATCTCAAATGTAAACATCCATCATCAGCAGTCATCCTAGTTCTATCTCTAGGGTTTATCTTCTTTTTCCTTAGAAAGAAAATAAATACGTTTCAATGCAGTAATCTGTGCAAAGGGAGTTGAGACCTAAATAAATACAAAAAACTGATTTCCACTCTAAAGAATTAATAATTACCTTTGTAATTTGATGGTTAAAGAATATTATACTAAATTTTTTTATTTTGAAGCAGATTGTAAGACACCTCTAAATCAAGCTCCTTTAGTTCAGAATAACAATAGCTATTTCTATATCATACCTTGTATTTGGTCATGGTGCTAAAATGATTATTCCGAAAGAACACACAAAGTTCTCCTTCCTGAACCGTTGAGGTTAGTTCACATAATCCATGGTATGTCAGTTGAGTGGCTGTGTTATTTAGAAACTGCTCAGCTACAAAGCCTAGGAACCAATGCATAATATTAAATGGAAGAATAATTTCAAAATTTAAAAGTTTTTCTATTTACACTATGTTCCAAGTATGAAGAAAGGCCAATCAAAATAAGACTTTTCTATTGTAACATGATGGTGCCAAACTGGAGATTCTTCTTTGTTATTCTGCTATGGAAGATGTGTCTGACAATTCCAGGCTAAAGAAATAATTATCTGAAATTCTTTTTATCAATAAATGCATTTACTCATACCACACCTACTTTTGCAAAGAATTTCAATAAAAGAAACAGATACAATAAAACTAAAACCCAATATAACAAATGAGAAGGCAAGGGTTAGCAATTTAAAAACTGGGTAGGAGCAAAAGTTGTATGTTAACAACCTCTTCCCCAAAGGATAGGTGTTTAGAAATTAAAAGCAGCTTCAAGAAACTGAGTTGCTTAAGATTTTGACAAAGATCTCAGATAATTCTTAATTCACAAACTGCTCAATTCATGCCTTAAAACTAAAGATAGGCATAAAACCTAACAGAAAACACTGGGGTAACCGATGACATTTTTATCCTATTCTCCTCCAACATATGCCACTCATTATATAGATATATTAAGATCAGAAATAGAAATCATCTCTTTTCTTTTCAAACATAATGAAATCCAAAGAAGCTTTCTGGGGTTTAATTTAAAAGATATGTATGTATGGTTGATCCTCATTATTCACATGGGTTCATATCTGCAAATCTGTCTATCTAAAATTTGTAACCCCAAAAATAAATACTTACTGCATTCCTAAGTATGTACAAAATAGCAAAAAAATTGAGTTACCCAATATGCACATTCCCCACTGAAGGCAAAATAAGCAACACTGTGCCTTCTTGTTTCAGCTCTCATACTGTGAAGAAGTGTCATTTTCATGTTCTATGTAATGCCACACTTTTTCACATTTTGTGAAATTTTTGTGTTTTTTTGGGGTGATTTTTAGTGTGTAAAATGGTTCCTAAGTATAATGTTGAAGTTAGTGTTCCTATGCACACAAAGGTTGTGATGTGCCTTAGAATACATATTTTTTACAGCTTTGGTCAGGCAGTTACAGGGCTGTTGGCTATGAGTTTAATGTTTATGAGTCAACAGAGGTGTCTCTAAACAGAAACACACACAAAAAACAAGGTTATCTCTTGACAAGCTGATGAAAATGTGACCAGAAGCTCACAGCTACCTAATCTTGAGTAGTGGTTTGGTATTGGCTAATTCAGTGTTCACAGCAACTTTACAGGACATAACTTTCAGTAATAATGAAAATCAATTGTATAAATATTTTAAAAGCCTGTATTTCTCTTTCCTTCTTTCTCTTCCTTTCTCCTTTTGCTCCCTTTCTTTAAAAAGGAATGGAGGGGAGGAGAATGCTCTAGAAATGTTTATAAGTGAGCAGGGAAGTGCAGATTAGGGAGTAAAGACGAATCTGTGTTAAGAAACTGACACCTCAACAAAAAATTGAAAAAAAAGTTGGTAGAAACTTGGTAAGGCCAGAGGTAGCTGTATAACATAGGTTTATTCCACTCCCTTATCATCCCTTACTTTTATTTATTTTCTAGAATTGTGAGTTAAGTTTTATTTGGGGCAAAGTGAGGACTGCAGCCCAAAAGACAGCACCTCAGATAGCTCTGAGAGACTGGTCCAAACAGCTAGTGGAGGAAGGTAATAATATAAGATTTTGGTGAAGGGGGAGTTCAATGCAACCAAGCACTCACTTTACAAAAGGTTTTCTGCTAGTCACAAGGAGCTGATGTCACCATGAAGGGATTTAGTGCTTTTCTAGATATGAGGAAATGCAAAGACTGGGATCATGAAATCATTCCTGAAAATACCTTACTATCTAAAGACCTGTTACACCAGTTTCCCTGGAGCACAGAGTGCCTCAATCTCCACACTGAATTCCCTTCAGGGAGTGCTGAAGGTCAGCAGCTGCAGCAGCACAGACAGATGGCAAATGCCCTTGTTGTTGTTCTTCACTTGCTGGCAAGTGCTCTCAGCAAGTGCCAATTTGTAGTTGACAGGCAAGTGTCAATTCATAGTTGACAGGGCCCATCCCTCACTTTCAGCGTCAAGTCACAGCACTTCCAGCTACAAACTGGTTGTAAAAAGTTACCAATATACCACACTATTCCAAGGAATTGGTAAAGTAGGAGGGGAAGTGCAAAAAGTAATACAGAAAACCACAGCCAAAGGAAACTTATAGCACATCTGCAACTTCTTGGGTTTTATACATTCAGAAATAAGATTCCCCTTAATTATTATCATTACTTTGCTAAGTACTAAGTTACTGAGTGAAACATATTAGTTATATACTAAAGCACTTACTATTATCTAACATTTAAAATGTAAGCATTATGTCTCTGTGAGAAGTACCATTGCTGTTAGAATATCCATGTAATTAAACACTTCTTTCAGAAAGATGTCTCTAAATGTCCCTTCCATACCACACTCACACAACATCCTCTCTATAACTGTTTAAAAAAGATACAAAAATTCAGTGGAGCTATAGTACAACATTACTTTCATATATAAATTCCAAAATTTAACCCTAGAAAAGTGTTTCTCAGCTATTTGTTTCTAACGATCAGGACATGGACTCAGAGAGAAGAAGTGACTTGCTTAAGGACATAAAACTAGTTATGGCAAAGTGAAGATTGGAACTTAACTGGCATTAAGTTAAAAAATTTACTGCATTATAAATGCAAATTTATTGCATTATAAATGTAAACTGAACTTTATTTTTCCCTGAACCACAGAGCATAGCTTAATTTAGACTTAAATAAATGTTTCCTAATTCTTCTACCAACTTGTAACAGTGACATATTCAAAAGCCTAATCTAGTTTTAACTTTTCTTTTTTTTTAACTTTTCATAACTAAACAAATTATGGAGTTTCAAAGTATAATATAAGCAATTATTTATTAATTACAAATGGCAAAGGGTATCTTTCCAATAAAAAAATCTGGTAAGTATCACCTTAATTAAATTTGAACATCAGCAACAATGGGATAGTCAGACATGATATTCCACTCGATTTGATGCACTAGGAAAGACACAATGTCACCTATGTAGTAATCACACTGAAAATATTTAACACAAGTCTAGGAGGAAACAATCAAATGAATCAAAATTGAGGACTATTTTATAAAACAATTAGGCTGGATTATAAAGAAAAGTAAATATCACAAAAGACCAAAAAGAAAAATAGAGATCTGTTCTAAATTACAGGAGACTAAGTTGGTATGATAATTAAATGATACCTGACTGAAGCCTATATTGAAAAAGCTTAAAAGTTATAACGGGCATTATTGGGATACCTTGGGAATTTTGAATATAAATAGTATGTTAGATACTGGTAGTACATCAATGCTAAATTTCCTGAGATAATTGTATTGTGATTACAGAGGAATATTCTTTGTTCTTAGAAGACAAATACTGGAGAGTTAATGGATAGTGTTATAATATTTGCAATTAATTATTACATGATTTAGGAAAAAAATTGTGGGTGTGTGTGAATACAGAAAGAAAGTAAAACTTGAATACATTAGTAATTGGTGAATTTAGATGAAACATATATATGTATATACATACATACACACATATTCATTGTGCTATTCCAACTTTATGGGTTGGAGTTTTTTCAAAATGAAAGAGAAAGGAAAACAAAAGGAAATCAATTTTATTTAATCAAAAATAATATGAGCTCAAACTATAATCTTCAGTGCTTATGGCACATAATAAAGGCTCAATAGGTACTTGAATAAGTGAATATGCTGGAAAAATTTCCTTAAGCTTTTTTTTTTTTAATCTAGAAACAGTTGTTAAAGAAATTATTCCTGAGAGAGCACCTAGAATTAATGACAAGCTTTGTGGAGTCTGGCAGCTAGCACTGAACTATTTTTTTCCCTGCTGATTTTTGCTGCCATGCTACAACCCATCATTATAACTTGAATCAAAAAAAAATATTAACATCCAAAAGAGGCAGCAAATAATAAGTATTCTATGTACACAAAAAGTTCTGAACTTGTACTTACGAGATACTGCCATCAGAAGAAAACAAATATTTTCCGAAAGAAGTTGAAAGGATGTCTATTCTATTTGACCGATAGCTAAATAATATTTCTTTTTCATAAAAAAAGAATGATAGTAAAAGTATTTCTTGTATTCTGTACCTTATGGAAATGAAACATTTGAATTAAAAAAAAAAAAAGCAGTTACCATCTAAGGCCAAAGTTCAATAATTTTTAATACAGAATGAAATAATAAAACATTTTGGGATATTTTATGATTCAGAAGGAAAGTTACAGTTGTAAGGCTAAACAGAAAAAGAAAGCAGACTTCTTCAGCTGAATAATATACCCAAGAAAATATGATGAAGAAAATGGAAAAAAAAAAGAAAGAAAATGGAAAAAAGCTAACTGCTACATTATATAAGTAAAAAGGTCCACTGTGGTCTTTCATTTCATTACTGATGTCATAGTGCCTTTATACATGCAGCCACTGAGACTGAATATTGATTTCAAACAGACTGCATATTTGTAATTTCTTATAAACAAAAAACTAGTTGAGCTTTTTAATTGTACTGAATTCCATATATAATTTTTCTTTGAAATGGAAATCTGACAAGCACAATTTCACCATTACAAAATTTATATATCAAGGAATTAATCAGCTTGGTATATATTACCTGGAAATTCTGTACCTCTAAAGAGGAAGATTCCTTCTTGTTTTTACCAAGATGTTCTTCTCAAGTTATCAATACTATACAAATTAGCTACCTTTTTCATTATCCCAGAAATCAATGCTAGAGAAATATTATAATATTAAATAGTTGTAAAACCACTTTGAGAAAAAGGAGAAGTGATGAAGGGACTGTTTTTCAGTTACTGTTCATTCTGCTAGTGTAATAAGTGCTACCCATGTTACAATGCAGCCTCACTTGGTGAAAATGCTGTTAATAGTGTTTCCTATAGTTTCTTACCTCATAAATATATTCATCCAAATATCACTTATTGGCTATCATTTTATCGGTTAACACTTTCCAGATCCAATTGTTCTCTCAATTATTATTGAATAGCATACCGCAAGTTACTGAGAAAGTAGGAATTGACAGAGAGGTAATTTCTTTGTAGGCTGCTTTCTAAGAATATTTACAGAGCATGGATAAAGAATGGAATGTTCTAGTGAGTGGAATTTTGTTAACTAAGGGAAGACATTTTTTGTGACAGCTTTTCTTGCTCCTCTCTCTCCTAAAATTTAAACTTTGCTGTCTTAGGCTGTAGTGAAAGAGGTGTCACACAAATCAATCATTAATACTCCTGAATATTTATGCCTGGATAGTGAAAGTGAAGTCGCTCAGTCATGTCCGACTTTTTGCAACCCCATGGACTGGAGCCTACCAGGCTCCTCCGTTCATGGGATTTTCCAGGCAAGAGCACTGGAGTGGATTGCCATTTCCTTCTCCAGGGGATCTTCCCAACCCAGGGATTGAACCCGGGTCTTCTGCATTGCAGACAGACGCTTTACCATCTGAGCTACCAGGGAAGTCAATTGAGCAATAATCAGTTGGGTTCTTGTTAACCAATATAGTTTGAGATTCACTTACATATCTTCTTTCATATGTTCTTAGGTACTCGTGTAGTCATTTAGCTTTAATTTTATAACATGTAGTGATTATAATAGATTTTTATTATACTTCATGTGAAAGAACTGTGTCTGAGACAGAAAGATGAAGCTTATCACCTACTTTTCACTATTTCTCTTTCTTCTGTTAATCCTTCAACCCGAGAAGAACAGGAAACTTAGTATTTATGTATATTTATGAAAAAGTGAAGTGGATGTTGGGGAAATTATACCAAATGTTATGGTTCCTGACAGCATTTTGGTTTCAAATCTGCTCTTCCCTTCACTGACTGGAACACAGTTTAAAAAAAAGAAAAAAGAAAGAAACCACTTCTATATTGATGAATTTAGCAATACTTACTTTTAGCTAAGAATTAGGAAAACTGATGATCAAGAGGGTACTCTGATCCAGAACAGAACTTTAACATACTATACTATACTGAAATATAAGGCAGAGTTCTACTAAAATGAACATGAGTACCATAACACACATCTCACTCAGTCAACTAAAGTGTTCAGGATGAATTATAAAGTTCCCTCAGTACTTCCAAATAATAACCCTTTTTTTAAAAGAGCAATTATCAGTAACCCCTGGTAATTGGCCATATCAAAGATAGCAAGTGATTTCAAAGACTTTTATTAGAATCCAGGCCTGATTTTACAAGGCAAGTAAAAAGGGTTCTAGGAAAAACCTTTCACTGGTACCTTTATGAATAATTACTTCTTTTTTTAAAATAATTACTTCTTTTAATTCCCACAGGTAGCATCACTTTTATTTTTAGAAGTTGTATTTAATACATTTAAAAGATATTAAATTATAAGACAAGTTATTCTGCCAAGAATAAGTCAGGTATTAGCAGCACTCACCCACCTTCACTAACCAGCTCACTATTTTCTGACTGCTTACAAGAGATGATCTTCTCCACTAGCTGGTTGTAGCTGCAGTTACCAACAGCTTTTACAATGTCATCAATCTAGAAAACAAATGACTGTCTCACTAATCATGATAAAGTTATTATAAAAACAGTAACAAAAAAACCCACATCGCTCTTGAGGGTTTTATTCTAATACGATACTAAATTTAAAATTATTACTTATGAAAAAAAATCATCACTAAAATCAACACCCAACAGTTTTCAAATTTGTTTATAGCTCACTATAGCATAGTATGAAAAATACTGCTTAGCTATATTTCAATTATGCAAAAAATTATAAAATGGAATTATTATATACAACTTTATTTCTAAAGATTGTAAAGATGTATTTAAGTGATTAAAATCAAAAAAGTAATCTATTTCAGGAAGAAAATTAAGAAAATCCCATTTTTTTAAGTTGAAAAACAAATGTTTTGTATTTAAAGCAAGGCAAATCTAAAAGATGTTAATTTATGGGTTAACAAGGTTTTCCCATTGTATTACTTAGTTCCTAGCAAAGTATACTGAAGATACAAGTAAACATGACTAATGTTACTTCCCCAAAGGAAAATTAATATATATTCTTAAGGGAAAATATTTGCCTCATGATTCTTATTTTGTCTGTGGAGGTACAGCAGAAAAGTAAATTCAAATTTTTAAAGTATAGGACATTAAAATTGGGCATCTCTACTCTCCTTCCATTTTGCTTTGACCATTGAAGAAAAAAAATAGATGTCTGTTGTCTAAACAACTTACTTTGATTGCACTCCCATTCCTAAAATATATTTGTAAGTTATTTACATGTACTTAATTAATATATTAACATAAATTTACACAATGAAATAAAAAATAAGAGGGGCAACATTTTCTTTCCATATCCAAATGATCTTCTAGAATACTACAAGAACCAACAGATTTGCACAAGTAACAGAACAGTGATTTTTAAACAGAGAGTGTTTTAAAAAGTTAAAAGATTTCAAGACTCAAGTTGTTTCTCAAGTATCTAAGTTTTCATTCCACTGCAGTATAGCAAAGTTTGAGAACAACTTCTTTAGGCTATAATTTATTTCCTCTCTTTCTGCAAAATTTAAGGATGGTAAAAGCCTCTTAATCATGCAAGTGTACTAATGGTTGGCTGAAGATAAGTTAATTGAATAAGTTAAAGCAGAGAACTGTGGAAAGTATTATATACATCTTAAACATTTCATGTTAACTTAAAACACAACTGTATTCACTTGTCAACTTTCTGACGCAGAGCCAAAATAAGGCTGTTTCTTTGAAAGTGGATCTTTTGGCTATGATTCTATATAAATGACACAAGAATATGCCTTCCAGTTTTAATATATTTAAAATGAAAACTTAGGCCCTTAAGAAGCAGTTTGAGAGTATAATCTCTTTAGATGTTCATTATTTTTTGGAATATCTTTACTGATTACAGCAACTATCTTTAGTATTCAACTTCATTAAGTCTTTCCAAAGCACTGAATTTTCAATCCTAAGAAATCCACAAAAATACACCTAGAATAATACATGATCAATATATAAAAATTAGTTGTACTTCTATAGACTAGCGATGAACAATACAAAGATTTCAAGTTTTCATAGGCAGAATCTCTACATTAGTATTTCATCAATTAACTCATTTGGATGTCTTTTATGTACTACTATGTGCCAGGTGCTATTAGAGAAACTAAAGACTAAGCAGTGAATAAAATAGATGGTTTAGCAAATATATATTATACTAAGCAGTTGTATGTAGTGGTAAGAAGCTGTTCTTTGTTTTCATTGTACTATAGCATTCCATAGCATGAATATAACAGTTATTCATTCATCTTTTGATGGATATTCAAGTTGTTTCCAGTTTGGGGTGATGACAAATAACACTGCTATGAACATTCTTTGTACATTTATCCTGTTTCACAAATCTAGATTTTCTCTAGCAAATCCGCCTTGTCAAATTCCTGTGTCTTATCCTCAACTTTACTAGATAACTCCAAACTGCTTTCCAAAGGAGGTAGTCAGTTTATGTTATCATTAGCATGGAATGAAAATTCTCTATATTGCATATCTTCTCCAACATTTAGTACTGTCAGACTTCTAAATGTTAGCCATTCTGATGTGTGTATTTTGACTGTAATTTGCATTTGCCTGATGACTAGTTCATATGTTCACTGGTCATTTGGGTATCCATTTTTTGAAGTGTTTCTTCAAGCCTGTTTTGAAGAATTTTAGCTTTGCTAGTCTTCTTTATTATATATTTATTTTCTATTTTAATACTTTTGCTCTTAAGATAGATACATAGCTCATTAATTTTCAGTCTTAGTTTTGATAAAGATTTAGTTTCTGTGTAGTTTAAAATATACTGTTTCATTATGAGTTTTTGACTCAAATAGTCTCTACTGACTTTTTCTAATGATTTCTAGATTACTTACATTGTGGTCACAGACTATTTTACACCTCATTTATTTTATTATTTTTCTTTATTTTACACTTCGTTTATTCTAAATCCTTATAAATTTGTTGAAACTTAGCTTTATAACAGCATTAGGCAAAGTTTTATAAATTTCATTAGTGCATAAAAAGAATGGATAGTCAGGTTCATAGGAAACAAGGAAAGGCTGAGAAAGCAACATAGACAAGGGGAGACTATGAAGATACAATGATTAAAATGCAATATAATATCCTGAATTGAATTCTGGAACATAAAAAAAATTAGTGAAAAAATCAGTGAAATGTGAGAACTGTAATATAGTTAATAGTAAGGTACCAACATTAAATCTCTAAGTTTTGACACATCCATTATGGTCATGTAAGAGTAGGGGAAATTGGGTGAAGAAATGTATGGGAATTCTGAATACCATCTTTGCAACTTTCCTGTAAGTCTAGAATTAGTCAAAAATTAAAAGTTCATTAATTTTTTGAAAAGAATATATGTTTATTAGGTTATCTTTTCTGCTTCTATCAATTATAGTGAAAAGTATTTTAAAAGCTTCCAGTACGACAAATTTCTTTCTTCTTATTAAATTCTTCTTTATGTACTTGGAGCTTATGTTATTAGATGCATACAAATTCTGTTTTCCATTGTTAAAAACTAACCTTTACTCTCTGTGGTGATTCCCATGAGTCCAAGGAATAAACAGTCAATCAGGGTATTTATTTTCGAGGTGTCTCCAGACACATACACACTTAAAATGATTATATCTTCTTAGCAAATTAAACATTCTTTCATTAGTAATGCTTTTCGACTCAAAAGTCTATTCTTTCTGATATTACTATTGGTACATCAGTTTTCTTTTGATTAGCAATGTATGGCATCTCTTTTATCTATTTTCAATCATTCTGTTTAACTTCAGACTATTTTATATATGTCTCTTGTAACAGCAAATATATATATCTTAATCTGACCTCAGAATCACTGACTTTTAACTACAGCATTTAGTCCTATTGATATTACTATAATTATTCACATATTTGAATATATTAAATCTACTGTTCTCTCTTTCCCATCAGGTCTATATTTCTTTACCTCTCCTTTCTTCTTTTTGGATTAATCCTTTTACTAATCCAGAAGTTACCTACTATGTTTTCTATTCTTTTCATGGTTACTCTAAAGGAGCGTTATCCATCTGCACATGCTGTAATAATGGAAATATTCCAAATCTTTGTTGCCCAGTAAGATACCCACTAGTCACAGGTGGCTACTGAGCAATTTAAAGTGTGTCTAGTGAAACTTAGGAAGTAAATATTTAATTAAATTTAACTAGCCATATTTGGCTACCATATTGGACAGAGAAGTTATAAGAACTATAATATCAACCCTTATCATATCAAACTTAGAACTTAATATTCTCTTCTTGATCAATTAATTCTAGGCCCTTAGAAAACTTTACCCTTCTCCCAGCTTATGTTATTATTTTTTCATATGCTAATGTTTTTAAACTGTAAAGGATGATGTTATTATTTAATATAGTCAACAATGATTTAAATTTATCATGTTATTTTCTCTCCACTCACTCTTCCATCTGGGATCACTTTCTTTCTTTTCAAAATCCTTGTTCAGAATTTCCATCAATAGTGGTCTACTGGAAGGAAACTATCTTAATTCAATTAATCTAAAAATGACTTTAGGGACTTCCCTGGTGGTCCAGGGGCTAAGACTGCACTCTCAACACAGGGAGACTAGGTTAGATCCCTGGTCAGGGAACGAGATCCCACATGCTGCAATTAAGAGTTCACATGCTGCAACTAACGATCCTGCATCTAAGGCTTGGCACAGACAAATAAATAAATAAATATTTTTTTAAAAAGATGAAGTCAATCTTAAAAATTATTTTATTTCTCTCCATTCTTGAGAGAGAATTTTTCTGGGAACAGGAAATAGACTAGCATTTGTCTTCTTTCAGCACACTGAATGTATGATTTTCACTGTTATCTGGCTTCAAATGTTGCGCTTAAAGAATTAATTATCAATAATGGAGAAATAGCTTCTCAGTGGCTGAATTAGTGTCCATCTACCATCCAGAGAATGATATTTATTTGCAGGATAATTATTTGCAGTACACATACTCAAAGAATACAAAGAATCAGCCAGTGCCAAGAGATATTTCATAGAAACCTATGGATTTTAAGCTTTTGCCTTGTTCTTTTCTCTTTCTCAGCTTAAAATCCGTCAGTCATGAAACAAATAAGTAAAAACAGATAAAAAGCACAGCTCTCAGGCCCAAGATTTTGAAAACCACTGTGCAGACCAGAAAAATCTGATGAACAATTTGTATCCTACATTAGAGATACTTTTCTCTAAGCCTATGAATTCAACTGTCTGCCAGACAATATGCAGCTACACATACAGTCAGAGGGATAATCTAAACCCAGTTTTTAAGAACTCAGAATTAAGTCCCTTAGGCCATAAGTTCATTTTCCTCAAGGATCTAGGCTACCTGGCACTGCCATTTGCGAGGATCTAACACGATTTACCTTGGAGGAATCAGATGCTGGACATGTCTAGACTTTTTAGTGATGTTCTCAAGAGTCAGGGTGCCAAAATAAACAAACAGATGTATGCTGACAGCAAGCCTGTCACTGCTCAGAAATACCAGCTACCTTTAAAGGACAGGGGTGAAGAAACACTACCAAATCTATGCTATATGATCTCTCCGTCTCTGTAGGTAATGCATGTATGAATGTTTCATTTCATCAGTTAATATTTACTTAGAATCTTCTATGTGCCAGGCACTGTTCTTAAAAATAAGAGCCTAGCCTTCACAAAACATACACTCTACTGGGAGATGATAGTTAATCAAGTAAATAAACAATTCTAGATAATGACTTGGGAAAAGGAGGGTGACTAATTTCAACAAGGGAAGGCCTCTCTAACAAGATGATATTTGATCTAAGAAACTGAATAATGAGGAGACCAGAAATGGAAAGATATGGGAGAACAATGTGTTTGGGCAGTAAAACAGTGTTCCACAGTGGGCAATCAGCTAGTACAAAAACCTGAGCTAGAAATGAGCTCTGTATATCTCAAATATGAAGGCAGCTGGTGTTGGAGGGCAGTAAAAAGGTGGGAGAATTACATAAGAGGCGAAGTTGGACATGAGACAGAATTTAGATAATGCAGTGTATCATAAAAATTCTAATAAAGATTTTGTATCTTATTATAAAGAATGAAATAATGCCATCTGCAGCAACATGGATGAACCCAGAGATTGCCATATTAAGTGAAGTAAGTCAGATAGAGACAGATATATGACATCACTTATACGTGGAATCTAAAAAAAATGGTGCAAATTGACTTATTTACAAAACAAAAATAGAGTCACAGATGTAGAAAACAAACTTATGATTACCAGGGCTAGAAGGGGAAGGAGGGATAAATTGGGAGATTGAGAGACTGACATATCCACACTACTTTATATAAATAAATTAGTAATAACGGCCTGCTGTATAGTATAAAGAACTCTACTCAGTACTCTATAATGGCCTACATGGGAGAAGAATCTAACAAGGAGTGGATATATGTATAACTGACTACACTTCCCTGTAAACCTGAAACTAACACAAGATTGTAAATAAACTATACTCTAATGAAAATTAAAAAAAAAAGATTTTGTATCTTATTCTAGCTACACTGGAGGCTTCTGATGAAAGGAGTAGGGCACAGGGATAAAGGGGAGGGTTTATTTCACAAAGATCACTCTGAGTGCCAAGATAATTCACTGCAGGGAAGAATAATCTTTTCAACAAATGAGAGTGAGACAACTGAATATCCACATGCAAAAGAATAATGTTGGATTCCTTCCCCAAACCACATACACAAATCAACTCAAAATGGATCAAACTCCTAAATGTAAGCACTAAAAGTATATACTTTATACTTACATACTTTATATATTATAAATATACAAAAAACTCTTAGAACCCAGTAACAAAAAGACAAATAGCCCAATTAAAAGTGGCCAAGAAATTTGCAGATATTTCTCTAAAGATACACAAATGGCTAATAAGTGTATGGAAAGATAATCAACAACATTAGTCATTAGAGAAATGCAAACAAATCCACAATGAGATACAACTTTACACCTACTATGATGGCTACAATCAAAAAGACAGACAATAATAGGTGTTGGTGAGGATGTGCACTCAGCTCTGTAGTCAGCCTCTAACTCCATGAAATTATAGCCAGAAGTCTTGGGCAGATTTAGCAGTCTAGAGGACTGTGCTCTTAACCTCACAATGTGGCTAATTCCACGTAAAAGCACAAAAATATAAGTATCAGAAAATGTAAACCTAGATTACTTTGCCAAGTTAATAAATTTTTATAATATTTATGTTCATATAATTTAAGATTTTGTACTTACCTGAGGGTCCACTAACCATCCATGATACAAAGGAATATCAAGAAGATCAAATACTATGCATTCTGGTGTATATTCAAAGACTCGAACACCAGTGAATTTTACATTTACATCCAAGCCTGTCTGTAGTTTGTGCAATACTGCCATAGCATCACTCATATTCTGAAAATAGAAAGGGGAAGAGAAAAAAATGAGAAAAACAACAAAAAATATATTTAAATACAGGTACATTTACTACAAATTTTCCACTTTATCCAATTTATTCATCCTTTCCATTTTTATTATTAAGTACCTACTATGTTTCAGGGGCTTCCCTGGTGGCTCAGATGGTAAAGATTCTGCCCGCAGTCTTAAAGAGATGAGAATACCAGACCACCTTACCTGCCTCCTGAGAAGTCTGTATGCAGGTCAAGAAGAAACAGTTAGAAACGGACATAGAACAACAGATTGATTTCCATGGGAAAGGAGTACGTCAAGAATGTATATTGTCATCCCGTTTGTTTAACTCACATGCAGAGTACATCATGTGAAATGCAGGGCTGGATGAAGCACAAGCTGGAATCAAGATTGCCGGGAGAAATATCAATAACCTCAAATGTGCAGATGACACCACCCTTATGGCAGAAAGTGAAGAAGAACTAAAGAGCCTCTTGATGAAAGTGAAAGAGGAGAGTGAAAAAGCTGGCTTAAAGCTCAACATTCAAAAAACTAAGATCATGGCATCTGATCCCATGAGTTCATGGCAAATAGATGGGAAACAATGGCATCAGTGAGAGACTTTATTTTCTTGGGCTTCAAAATGACTGTAGATGGTGACTGCAGCCATGAAATTAAAAGACGCTTGCTCCTTGGAAGAAAAGCTATCACCAACCTAGACAGCACATTAAAAAGCAGAGACATTACTTTGCCAACAAAGGTTCGTGTAGTCAAAGCTATGGTTTTTCCAGTAGTCATGTATGGATGTGAGAGTTGGACTATAAACAAAGCTGAGAGCTGACGAATTGATGCTTTTGAACTGTGGTGTTGGAGAAGACTCTTGAGAATCCCTTGAACTGCAAGGATATCCAACCCATCAATCTTAAAGGAAATCATTCCTGAATATTCATTGGAAGGACTGAAATTCCAATACTTTGGCCACCTGATGTGAAGAACTGACTCATTGGAAAAGACCTTGATGCTGGGAAAGATTGAAGGCAGGAGGAGAAGAGGACAACAGAAGATGAAATGGTTGGATGGTATCACCAACTGCATGGACATGAGTTTGAGCATGCTCCGGGAGTTGGTGATGGACAGGGAAGCCTGGCATCCTGCAGTCCATGGTGTTGCAAAGAGTCAGACAGGACTGAGTGACTGAAGTGAACAATGTTACAGGCATTAAATATGAGTTCTAAAGATAAAACAGTGGATAAAACAAAGTTCTTAATCTCATGGAACTAACATTTTACTATGAGAGAAAAATACATAAATCATAATATAAAGTTAAGTATTAGTAAGAAAAATTGGACAGGATAAAGATATACAGAGAGGGGAGAGGGGCCTATTTTTAGACCAGGAAGTTCAAAGACAAAAGTTTCTAGTCAAAGAGAAAGGCCTCTCCCACTTCCAGATATATTCCTAAAAGAATCAAAAGCATCATCTTAAAGAGACAGGTGTACACCTATATTCACTGCAGCATTATTCACAACAGCCAAGAGGTGCAAGTAGTTCAAATGTCCATTAGCAGATAAATGGATAAAGGAAACATGTTTTATATATATATATACACACACACACATACACACACATAATGGAATATTATTCAGCCTTTAAAAAAAAATGAAGGAAATCTTATTACATGTTACAACATGGATGAAACTTGAGGACATTATACTGAGTGAAATAAGCTACTGCAAAGAACAAATATTATGTGACTCCACTTATATGAGATAAAGAGAGTAGTCAAAATCATGGCAATAGAAAGTAGAATGGTAGTTGTCAGGGGCTGGAGGGAGATCTGGGGAGTTGTTCAATTAGTATAGAATTTTAGTTTTACAAAGTGAAACTGTTTTAGAGATCTGTTACACATGAATATAATATAGTTAACACTACACTTAATGGTTAAGAGAAGAAAAAAGGTTAAAAGAGTAAATTTTATGTTTTTTTAACTATAATTTAAACAAAAGAAAGAAAAAGAAGTCAGCTATCAAGCCATGAACAGACATGGAAAAAATTTAAATGTACATTACAAAGTGAAAGAAGCCAATATGAAATGTATTGTATGATTCCACATGACACAAAATGATGGGAAAAGGCAGAACGATGGAGACAGTAAAAAGATCAGTGGAGGAGGGAGGGATGCAGTGGCAAAGCACTGAGGATTTTTAGGGCAGAGAAACTATTCTGTATGATACTATAATGGTGATACACATCATTATATATTTGTCAAAACCCAAAGAATGTATGGGAAGATCCCCTGGAGAAGGGAACAGCTACCCACTCCAGTATTCTGGCCTGGAGAATTCCATGGACTGTATAGACCACTGGGGTTGTAAAGAGTCGGACATGACTGAGACACTTTCAAAGAATGTATAAACACCAAGAGTGAGCCCTAATGTAAACTATGGACTTTGGATAATAATTCTGTATCAATGTAAACGGTGGGAGGTGAAGTCTGTGAAAAAAAGCCTCAATCACAAAGACTTATTGGTCAAATCAGAGTCATTCTGTCCACACCAGGTTTCTCATTAAACATGGTCATGTATGTAAGGAAGACTATTTTAAAACTTGTTTTTCTAAACATTTTAATATATTAAGTATGGACATAAGTATAGAGGGTATATTTGATGCAACAAATAAAAATCAATATACAAAATTTGATAAAATTTTATTAAATCGATACTGTTAATCAGATACTGTGCTACATACTAAAGATATAAAATAGGCTATAGACTATAGCCTATTGGAGGGCTTATAGTAGAATGGCTAAACATGAAATAAACCCTTTTATATTACAATTAGGGACTCTCTGAAATCAGGAAAGGACAAATTTAGGTCAAAAGAAAAGTTTTACCAGTTAACTTACAAAATTCTATCCTAAGAGACTACACAGACAAAAACAGAAATTATTCAAATGTTTTAAATTTATGAGTGAGGAATTTAGAACAGGATAGCACTATTATAGAGTCTTCGGTTTTTGCCAGTCTCACCTCTCTCTAACAATTGTAATGCCCTGAAACACTTATTTTCTCAGTCTTCCCTAAAGTTGAAACTTTGAAAACAATCAGCTCACATTTTTTTCCTTTCAGTGTTTTAAAACTTTTCCTAAAGCCATAACAATGATGACTGTGAGAAAATATGAATGTATATGAGCCACTGTAGGACTGTAGTTTTACTACTACTGATTTTTTCTGCTAGGTGTTAAATTCTTGGTTGCCAATCACCGAATTTTCTTAAAGGGAGAGTATAATTTCAAGCTTACACCTATATATATATCTTCTACATTTTAAACAGATTATATAATATTAAAATAACTAAATTAATATAACTAATAATCTCCATAAAGAATAAAACTGATATAAATAAATCTATAAACAAAGAGTTTGAAAGAGTATTTTGCCATTTTGTTCCTGAATTCAAATTATGATAATTAATATAAAATATAAATAAGGGAAGGGTGCTTAGAAAAGGATTACTACTTCTTTAAGCCAATAGTTCAACTGCTCCTTAGAATTTTTCTTAAAGGTACTGTTAACGTGGTGAAATTTTAAATTTAAACATAAGATATATTTAAAAAATATATTTGCAGTCATATTAAAATCTGTCATAAACACACACAGAGTAATTTCTTGTGTTGTCATCAAAAGCAAAACTGGAAAAAATATGCTCTTTGTTTATATTGCAACTTCTGGTAAGGATTCTTAATTAGGAAGACTGAAGTTCTGCACTGCTCTTTTTAAAATTTAGGCTTGAACATTTCTGCTCTCACAAATTATACAAAAAGATTATTGTTACATCATACCTGTGGAGCATTAAAAACCAGTTTAGACTCAATTTTATCAGCTTGGTACTAACTCTGATGTTGGGAAAGATTGAGGGCAGAAGGATAAGGGGACAACAGAGAAGAAGATGGTTGAATGGCATCACCAACTCAATGGACATGGGTTTGGGTGGGCTCCGGGAGTCAGTGATGGACAGGGAGGCCTGGCATGCTGCAGTTCATGGGGTCGCAAAGAGTCGGAACAACTGAGCAACTGAACTGAACTGAACTGAACATACTATTCTCAAAACGAATGGTAATTCAATCACAATACCTTATAAATAGTTTTAGAGCTTATTTTAAACACAGGGTACCTTTTGTCTGACATGTTGATAAGAAATGCAAGTGGCTGTCAGTGTTTGTTTCAACGTTGAAACAAAACTTCCAGCCATTTTTCAAGAGTCCAAATCATCTTAATGGAAGCACAACCTGAGACTGCAAGACAAGACTTGAAACAAAGTGCTGGTATCATTTGGAAATACTTTTCACTCAAGATTTTCTCAAGTCTGTGCAACAGAAATGAACTAAATTTTGAGGTTGATATGAAACTGCAACTATGATCTGTAATTTCTAATTTCAAGTTTTTGTATTAATTACAATAGCCTTACTGATTTCAATAAGAAATGATCAAAATTTGATAAATGATATGTTTAACCATAGGGATTCCCTGGTGGCTCAGAGGTTAAAGTGTCTGCCTGCAGTGCAGGAAACCTGGGTTCGATCCCTGGATCAGGAAGATCCCCTGGAGAAGGAAATAGCAACCCACTCCAGTATTCTTGCCTGGAGAATCCCATGGACGGAGGAGACAGGAAGGTCCACAGTGTCACAAAGAACTGGATACGACTGAGCGACTTCACTCACTCACTCATTCATAAGTTTAACCATATCACTTTACACTTATAAAATATTTACTGGTTTTATAAATTGAAGGTTAACATAAGATTTCATTTGAAAACAAGTTTCTACTGTGAAAAATGTTTGGAAATCCTTGCTTTAAGTTACAAATTCCAATAGAACTGAAATGATTTAGTATACCTATTTGGCTTTAACTACAGATTTCCTGGAGGAGAGCATGGCACCTCACCCCAGAATTCTTGTCTGGAGAATCCCATGGGCAGAGGAGCCTGGCAGGTTAAGCGACTTAACACACACACAGATTTCCTACCTTACACAGTGATTCAATGTAACATACTTAGCCCTTCGATCTTATTAGGACTAGATTATCTAACATGCAAATTCAAGAAATTTTGCAATATTGAAATTAGTTTTCTTGTTGCTATCTGGACACTGGTGAAAGTATGTAATAAGGGTTACTTTGAAAGTAAACATAAAGGTTCCAATGATATGTTTCTTCCCCGGCTGATATGTCTTCCACTGCAAGAACCTGTGTTCTTCTCGCCTTCCACCGTCAAACAAAGGAAGAATACTGAAGAAAATGAAGCTCTGCTTGCTTACATCCAGCTCCAGTAATTTTGAGCCTGGTGGTCCCTTTATGTTAACCTTCAATTTATAAAACCAGTGCATATTTTATAAGTGTAAAGTGATATGGTTAAACTTATGTCATTTATCAAATTTGCATTATGATAATACTATGAAAGTGTTGCACTCATTATGTNGGCATCTGGTCCCATAACTTCATGGAAAATAGATGGGAAAACAGTGGAAACAGTGTCAGACTTTTATTTTGGGGGGGCTCCAAAATCACTGCAGATGGTGACTGCAGCCATGAAATTAAAAGATGCTTACTCCTTGAAAGGAAAGTTATGACCAACCTGGATAACACATTTAAAAGCAAAGACATTACTCTGCCAACAAAGGTCAGTCTAGTCAAGGCTATCGTTTTTCCAGTGGTCGTGTATGGATGTGAGAGTTGGATGGTGAAGAAAACTGAGCGCCAAAGAATTGATGGTTTTGAACTGTGGTGTTGGAGAACTCTTGAGAGTCCCTTGGACTGCAAGGAGATCCAACCAGTCCATCCTAAAGGAGATCAGTCCTGAGTGCTCATTGGAAGGACTGATGTTGAAGCTGAAACACTAATACTTTGAGCACCTCATGCGAAGAGTTGACTCATTGGAAAAGACCCTAATGCTGGGAAGGATTGGCGGCAGGAGGAGAAGGGGACGACAGAGGATAAGATGGCTGGATGGTATCACCAACTCGATGGACATGGGTTTGGGTAGACTCTGGGAGTTGGTGATGGACAGGGAAGCCTGGAGTGCTGCAATTCATGGGGTCGCAAAGAGTCGGGACACGACTAAGCAACTGAACTCAACTGAACTGAACTGAGTGGTTCCCTCGTGTATTACAGAATAGTATCTCCAAAGAACAAGCCAAACAATGTGAACACATTAAAACAAAAGTCCCAATGATATGTTTCTTCCCTGGCTGATATGTCTTCCACTGCAAGAACCTGTGTTCTTCTTGCCTTCTACTGTCAAACAAAGGAAGAATACCAAAGAAAATGAAGCTCTGCTTGCCTACTTCCAGCTCCAATAATTTTGAGCCCAGTGGTGCCTGCCCATATTGCAGAATAGTATCTCAAAAGAATGTATCAAACAATGAAAACACACTGAAACTATGAAATAGCAGATTCAGTCCTAATGGCATACCCTAGACATCATTTGCTGAACAATTTCCAAAATATAACTTAATTGTAAAATATAAACAAATGAGGGAAGATGAATCAATAACAAATTCACTTGAAAGTCAATTTTTTTCAAGGAAAATACTAGGTTATGATTCTTCATGGGTGTGCAGAATGGTATCCATGTTCATTCTTCATGTTATACAGTTTAGTCACTAAGTCGTGTCCAACTTTTGTGACCGCATGGACTGTAAATAGGTTCATATAAAAGAGAGATCAGCAAAGTATGGCCTGTGGGTCAAATATAGCTGTGGGCTGAAAATGGTTTTCACATTTTTAAAAGGGCGTAAAAAAAAAGAAAACAAAGAATATGCCTGAAAAGCCATTGATAGAGACCAATGAATATACCCATAAGGGCAAATTACCTATTATAATATAACAAAAATTGGGTCTGTTACCTGCTCATAGTTTAAACGCTGAATTTCTGAAATTTCTTTTGGCTTTGTATCAAGCATGTAATCTCCTGTAAAAAGAAATTGTAAAGTTGCCTTTTAAAAATATCACTTTTTTTCTAATTACAAAGGTAATATATTTAAATTATAAATTGTAACAATAAGTAACATAAAAAAGAGCCCCAGCCCAATTCTATTCAGAGAAAATCATCAGAGAAAATCAATGTTAACTGTTAGCTAAGATCTCATATTTTTTTCAGTGTACATCCTATGTTTTAAATTTATTTTTTTCCTTAATGAGCATCTTTCCACGTCACTATAATAAAACTCTAAAATGCTTTACAAAGTTTCATGGATATCAGCAATATAATTGTTACCCCAATACCTTTCCAAGAATGAGTGTTATCAGTCTTCTGAATGTTGCTTTTCTTAGAAGTAAACAGTAACTTTTTTGCATTTAAGAAACTGATATATTAGTGATTACCAGTAGGGAGAGGGAAAGGAGAAAGGCAAGAAAGTGGTATGGAAGTGAGATACAAAGTAGTATGTATAAAACAGATAAGCAACAAGGATATATTGTATAGAACAGGGAATTATAGCCACTATTGTGTAATTTTAAATGGAGTATAATCTGTAAAGATACGGAATCACTAGGCTGTACACCTGAAACTAATATTGTAAACCAACCATTCACCCCTCCAAATTGATATCTTTTTATACATGTATTTTTACTTGGTATCACTTTTTTAATATGTAAGTGGCTTTTAGTATATGTCACACTTTTTAAATATATGTAGCATCATTTTAATATATGCAGTACCTTTCTGATCTATGTTTTGCTTTTTAAAATATATATTAGTTATACATACTTTTCTTCACATTGCCTGCCTATACAATATTACATTTTTCTTACTGAACTATAAAAGCTCTTTTTCAATTACAGAAATGAGAACATTTCCTGTTATATGTGTGGTAAATTATTTTTTTCCCCATATTGACCTCTGATTTTATGATGGTGCTTTTTTGCCTATTTTTCACCATATAGAAATATTTAATTTTACATAGTCTCATTCTTCTATTACAGCTTCTGAGCTTGACGTTATGTTTAGAAAGATTTTCACCCCTTCAGAGTATACAAACATTCACATATACTTTCTTCATGTAATTTTATGTTTGTCTTTTTTTACATTTAAGTCTTTACATTATTTGGAATTAATTTTTATATAAACAGTGATATATCGGACCAACTTCTCACTCAGCCTCCTAAACCACTAACCAGTTGATAAATTGCTTTTATATAACTTTTATTTTAAAATTCAAAATAAACTTTCAACGACTGTATCAAGTACTCTTTCAATCTCTCCAATTTTGATAACCAAAGAATTCCTATAAACATCAATATATTATTATCTGTGGGTTTATTTAGAATTTTAAGAAAGCAAAATCTAACTAATAATAATTTTATTACACCATAGGTAAAGGAACTCCAAAAATACTAAATTCATTCATTCACAGAAATATATAAGCAAGTATATTTAACAAATATTTTTGAAAACTTACTATAACTGGCACATTGTATATTTACATGCTGAGATTTTAATATAGCACTTAACTGAAAACTACACTGAGGAAATTTTATACATTATTTATTCAAATAATTGGGACCATATTTGCTATACTTTGATCCTATATTTCATTTAAGTTCTGTAATTATCCTGATAAAACACTGTAGTGTGTGTTTTTCTAACATTTTAGCAGGGTCAGGATGCAGAATATTATATAATTCAATACTAAATGACCCTAGGTATGCTATCATAGAATAAAGCTTATGTGTTACGAGTGTAATAAATATTGGGAAAGACTCAGATAAGCAACTTCTCTTTTCCTGAGGTCAGAAAAGATATTTTGACAAGAGAAGAATGGCCTCGCTAATGGAGGCAGCCTCTTTGATGTACCCTATTGCCCGGTATTCACACCTCTGTATAATCCCTTTCCCTTGATTGTGGACTAGACTCACTTCCAGTGAATAAAATACAACAGAATTAATGAAATGTCACTTACAAAATTAGAAAAGAAAATACTGTGTCTTTCATCATGGTGCTGTCTCACTTGCTCACTCTGAAAAATGCCACATGTCATGTTCTGAGCTGCCTTATGGGAGAGGCCATGGCAAGTAACTGAAGGAGGCCACTGGCCACAGTCAATGAGAAACTGAGGACCTCAGTCCAATGACCTGTGAGGAACTGAATCCTGTCAACAGTCAAGTAAGTAAGCTTAGAAGTAGATCCTCCTCAGCTGGGCCTGGAGATAAGACTGCAGCCCCAACTGACACGCTGACTGCAACTGTGTAAGAGACCTTAAATGAGAGTCACGCAGCCACACTCAGATTCCTGACCCACAGGTACTTTGTGACAGTAAATGTTCACTGTTCAAAGCAACTAAATTTTGAGGTGATATCTCATGTAGTAACAGACATCTGTATTTTTAGGAAAGTTTATAATAGAGAATTAGATATTTTTAAAAGACTGATTTTGAGTTTTTAAGGGAACATCCTTCAGTTTTAGAAATCTAAAAATCACCTCTTAAGAATGCTGTTTTGTCCAACTTATCTAGCCTTTATTTCAAAATTGATCAACAACACTATTTCAATCAAAAAGTATTTATTGATAGTTTATTCCGTGTTCAGCAACAGGTTAAAACAAATAACCTGTTTGGAAATGACTGTTTCTCTTAAAAAGCTAGTAATCTGGTTGGGTAAAGAACATACAGAAAACAGAATAAGATAATAATAAGGTATATATAATATACTGTAAACTGTAATAAATGCCTTAAGTATCACATTATTTTGAAAAGAGATATTGAGATAGCCTGTAGCACTTAAGAAATCTCCTTTGGAGAAGGCTATGGCAACCCACTCCAGTACTCTTGCCTGGAAAATCCCATGGATGGAGGAGCCTGGTAGGCTGCAGTCCATGGGGTCGCTAAGAGTCGGACACAACTGAGCGACTTCACTTTCACTTTTCACTTTCATGCATTGGAGAAGGAAATGGCAACCCATTCCACTGTTCTTGCCTGGAGAATCCCAGGGATGGGGGAGCCTGGTGGCTGCCATCTATGGGGTCACACAGTCAGACATGACTGAAGTGACTTAGCAGCAGCAGCAGCATACATAAGATTTATTTTGCAGAATGGTGAGAAATATGGCTGGATGGGTAACCTTGATCAGATTATAGAAAATCATAAATAACACATTGATAAGTTTGGTTGCTTGTGAAGATCTTAAGGGATCTTTGCTTTTAAGTCGACAAGTGAAGGATAAAATTAGCGCTTTAAGAAGATAATATTTGTAAACAGGCCAATTTGGATAGTAGAGAAAACAAAAGAGCTTGCAATAAACCACACTCCCAAGTACCAGTAGACAGAGAGGAAAGAATTTCAAAGAAAGAATCCCTAAGACTTTGCTACTAATGGGATATTCCAGACAAACAGAAATCAAGAAGAAAAAACGTGACAGCTACATTAGGCCAAAAACAGAAGACAGGGTTTGTCAGTAGGGAATCTATCCTATGTTAAGCACCTGGAAAAGAAGAGACACAATTAACCGTAGGCAAAATTCAGTTCAGTTCAGTTTAGTTACTCAGTCGTGTCCAACTCTTTGCAGACAAAATTTTGTAGGCAAAATTAAAATGCTTTAGTATTGCTTTTATAGTATTTATGCTCAAAAGACAAATTATCTTTTAAGAGCGAGGGATTGGCTTGTTTAGCTTTTGTTGTTGTTCTTCTCTGCTATCTGCTTAATAGAGAGAACTTCATGTGGTGGGAAATATTTTTAAAACACACACACATACACACAGTATATATGAGGCAATGCACAGGTGGGAGCTGGCAGTGCAGAGAGGAAGAGACACTGGTCTGCAGCAACAGCTTCTACTACCAGCCCCTGGGACACACACCCTTGTGCTCAAGCAGTCATTGTCAATGACAAAGTGACTATTGAAGTTCTAGTTGTATTAAATTAATGCTAATAATTTGGATATTTTATTTTATTTCGGGCTGCTCGGGTAATGTCAGCCCTTAACCAAGCATATGTGGTTTTTTCCTTTTATTTTTTTCTTTCCGGATACAGCTGTAAAATATTTGGATATAGGAAATGTTGTGTTACTCTTGCAGCCTTGATATTCAGGGTGGATTGTAAAATATAAATTTTTGTGAGATTTCAAAGATTATTTTGATAACATTATTTACAGATTTAAAAGATGTGGTTATCACAAGTCTGTTGAGGGGGAAAACTACTGCATAAATATCTAAACTACTGCATAAAATATCTAACTTGGAATAAGTATTTCACATCAGTTTGGAAAAATAAGATAAAATATCTTTTAAAAAGTCAGATAGCACCACCATCCCACCAGCTATTTTCCTTACTATAATATGGTGCTAATCTCATGATCATACAAACTATAAAAATCATACGTTTGAAACAGGAGGGAAGGGGACAGGGCACAACCCCTGAAAGAATGACAAAGTATAAGGACACAACATAAACTGATTAGAACCAAATGGGTCCAAAATGGCAGACAAGTCAACTTGGACTAGACCTTGATCCTCTAGATACATTCATTGTAACACATCAGCAAGCTAAATGACACACATAGAGGTACCACAACAGTTTCAAGGGCCGACCAAAAAGTAGACAAAAAGTGGCCCAATTTCTGAAAATCTCTACCTCTTTCCCAAAATAGCTGGAATAATCCTCCCACTTAATAGACTATGAAATTATCCAGCTCCCAAAATTTAACCACACCACATTTCAAGAAAACACTCTCTCTCTGTTCGAAGGCCCATGATGTTGTCTGTGGCATGTGCTTCTCCCAAGTTTACTCCTGCCTTCAGACATGGCCTACACTCTGTGTATTGTGTTTCTAAGTAAATCCACTTCTTTCGTATATCACTTTGTCTCTCACTGAATTCTTTCTGCTACGAGACATCAAGAACCTGAACTTCCATTACATCCCTAAACCAGCTCTGTGATCTCAGTTGGAAGACCATGGGCTTTGGCTGGGTTCAAGTT